CCCCCTAAAAAACAAAAACAAAAACAAACAAACAAAAAACTAGCAATAAGGAAACAACAACAGACAAATCCAACATATCTACAACATGGAAACAAATAGGAACAAAAGCAAAAAGGAGAAATCAAGAAAAAAAGACCCCCATCAAGACTTAACGGAATGAAGGAGTGGGGTTGAAGATAAGAGCATGGGGATAATGAGAATAAAAAGATTATATTATGAGAACGGATAATACTTGTAATCTATGTCGATCTCAGTTTCTAAGGTTCAAAACAGTTGTACATGAAGTCTCTCCCGGCAATACTGCAAAATTCGCACGATGAAGCTTCTGCACTAAATTGTCCCCTGCTTCGCAGTATGAGCATGATTCAAACATTGTCTGAGGGATCATGCACCCCATCCCCCAAAAGTAACACAGGTTCGCTCTGTGCAGCGAGCAAAGCTTGAACTTTTTTGTTTATCTGACAGAGATCTAGGTAGCTGTTAGTGTAGTTGGAAATCGAAATTTAAGTGAGCATAAGGGACCATTTTTTTGGGTCTAAAATCTTTTCATTTCGAATAACTTCACCAGACATATGAGTTGCGAGCGCCGTCAAACCTCTACGAAAAAAAAAGACATAATAATTGACTTCTTGAAAAAAGTAATTTTGACTTTGTAATAAACTCAAAATTCTACTCCATTTGAAGTAACAACATCTTGTATTCCACTGGTCTTGCTCTAATAAGGAAACTTCAGGGTGAGATTCTGAAGTAATACCGGCACTCATAGATCACAACAGGTCAACACTTCAAGAGGAAGCTTGCCTGAACAATAATGAATTGGTTGAGCATAACCACGAAACATGAAAGATCTGATAAGAAAAAAGGCAGGACAATTGCCCATCCCTGTGGCTATTTTCGGAACCTAGTCCTTATTTAGTAGAGCTACACACCCACTGTGGCAGCACCGAGAACAGAGACAAAAAGTGTTTATATTCGATAACATCAGTTTGACCAAGACACATTGGCTGAATTCTTTCAACAAACACCATGTCGGGAAAGTATCGGCTTTGGGCGTGGAACCAATCTATTGTTGTCGTCACCTGCTGCGTGGCTGTTGGACTATCCTTTCTTCTTGACGACCAGATAGGTGGCTATCTATGATAATTAACATGTAGCTTCCTTATTCTTTCCTCTTCTGGTAGTGTTATTACTATCATAAAATTATTATGTGTGATAAAAATCCTCTATGATTTTTTAAACCTGATTTAGGCTAATATAAAAGAAACCGTGTTGGAACGTTAGTCTGAGGTGACCTTCAAAAATGGGCCTTTGGATTCTGTTGGGGATTCAACTTTTAGACCCGTATGCAAAGATAACAGAAGATTGAACAGAGTGGTTTCTTTTAGCTTGTTTTAACCGTTTAAAAAAATTATGGTAGCAATAATAATGATGATGATGATAATAATAATAATGCATATCATTTCTACAGCGCTCACTCCCCTACATTAAAGCTCTAGTACTCTTACAGTACTATCATCATAACACACAATTAAATACATGTACATAATCGTTGTGCGTACCGTAATGCGCTCTTTAGATTTAAGATAACACATAAACAGGCATTCAAACGATCACAGCATAATCGATTGACGATAATGCATATCGTGTTGTGAACATAATAGTAATATGAAGAAGAAGCTTTTACTATCAAGATGGCATTTCATGAAGTATTCTGAGGGTTAATTTGCACATTATCCCAAAAGAAAAGGTATTCGTTGAATCTGAATCTTGGGACAAGTATCTTGGATGTACTTGGACTGCAATGATGACGGCCCCTCTTTACAGTAAATAATAATAATTTTAAGAAAATCCGGTGTAATGAGGAAAAAACGTTCGTTTATTGTGCGACTTTCATTTTCTTTAATATCCATTCATTTTTTAGTTAATAAGAAGAGTGCTTTATCAATTCTGAAGAACTCTGCATTGTTTAACACTGGTCAAAATGAGTTTCACTTTTGTGCTGATAACGACATTAAAGGGAATAGTCGGGCATACGTCATGAAATATACTGATCTCCGTTTATCACTGTCACATAAATACTCACCCCCCCCCCGCCCCCCAGAAATGTCGCCACCCCTTTTATTTTTTAAGAGACTTAATGATCTCCGTTTATCATTTTCATATGATATTTACAAACTTACCTTCCGGAAGTGTCCCTAACCCCTTTTGTTCTTAATCGTATGCAAAACTTTACATTAGTGCCGTAGTTACTTCAATTGCATTAAGACCTCTATTATATTTTTGGTGTAGATTTGCAACATGTTTTTGGGTATAAATGACACAGGCACAGCTTATTTTTCTATTCAGAGCAGGAGTGAGTTGTTGTTGTTGTTGCTGCTGCTGCTGCTGCTGCTTGTTGTTGTTGTTGTTGTTGTTGTTGTTGTTGTTGTTGTT